GAATACCCTGAGATAAAGTGAGTGTAGGCCAGCTCTACCTAGTCCTAGCTACTCCCTTCCATCCAGCTGGCCTCAGACACTAATGCAACATGGCCCCTAAAACTAAATGAGCTTTTTCATAAGCTCCACCAGCCCAGTAACGGCATCTCTGGACACTGCTGTTAAGAAATCCCCCTGCTATCTGTGTCAGGGGAAGGGCCCCCTGAATCTTTGGGCAGAAGGGCAGCTCAGAAGAATGGCCAGCAGCTGGCGACCGCCTGTTGAGGGAATGGGACTTTTCTCCAGTGCCACTTGCCCAGCCTTCGGAGTGCCTGTTTGTTTGTTACCTCTGCCTAAGGAGGCAGGAGAGAGAGGCCTGGAAGAATCTGGAAAGTTATTTGCCATCTGATGAGAATGCAGTTTTCTATGTTCCAATTGCTCAAGCGTTTCAGAAACCTGGGGCCTTACAGGAAGCCGGGCATGGGGCAGGACTGTGCCTGGGGAGTGGGGAGGGTGTGGAGGAAGCGACTCAGTCCATTAGTTCTCAGGGCAAGGCGGGCGCTGTTCCTTTATGCCTCCAGCTCTCTGGCTGCTTCTAATCCCTCCTCACTGCTGGGGTTCTGAGAGGCACACAGAACCCAGAACTCTTTGGCTTTCATCCTTCTGGTATGCAGCGATGCACCAAACATTTGTTGAAGGGAAGGGGCAGGAAAGGAACTGTTGTGAGATTTAGGGGACCCTGCCCTGCCACCTGGGGCTGGAGCGATAGCACAGCGGTAGGATGTTTGCCTTGCAGGCGGTCAACATGACTGACTCGAGTTTGATTCCTCCACCCCTCTCAAAGAGCCCGGCAAGCTACCGAAGAGTATCTCGCCCGCACGGCAAAGCCTGGCAAGCTCCCTGTGACTATTCAATATGCCAAACACAGTAACAACAAGTCTCACGATGGAGACGTTACTAGGCCCGCTCAAGCAAATCAATGAACAATGGGAGAACCGTGAACCGTGAACCACCCTGCCACCTACATAACCCTCTAAAGCACTCTTGAAAGTTCAAGAACGTTCAAATGCAGACAGCTCTGAGAGATGTCAGAGAGGTTTCTTGGGGGCCCTTCAATGGGAGAAGAGGAGAACCCACCGAGAGAGGATGGACCCCCCACACACACACCGAAGGGCTTGCATCTGATGGCTGTTTCTTCACAGCCTCAATATTTTTACTGTAAGAGAGCTGGCCGACTGGCATGAGCTTGGGATTTTTCTTGTTAATTCTGTGCTTAGTGGATTCCTTCCCTCACTCTCTCTCTTTGGACTTGAATGGCAGGGCTGGAAGCCCCTCCCCTGCTTGAAAGCTTATGCCCACATCCCTGAATTCCAAGTGGCCTGGCATCTGACCTTCACGAACTGTTCTTGCACCAGGCCCTGGGAACACACCCACTGGTGGAGTGAGGGTGTGACCTCCACAGGTCCAGGTTGTGGCCCAGCCCGGCATGGGGGCCCTCCAGTCAGTGAGGGTGCTTGTGCCATCCAGGAAGGTTGGGTTACTGCCACAGTGACACCGGACTTTGGTGCTGGAATGGGGAGATAGTCTAAATAGTTCTTGGATTAAGCTTTTTTTTTTTTCTTTTTGGGTCACACCCGGCAATGCACAGTGGTTACTCCTGGTTCTGCACTCAGGAATTACTCCTGGCGGTGCTCGGGAGACCATATGGGATGCTGGGAATCAAACCTGGGTCAGCCGCATGCAAGGCAAATGCCCTACCCGCTGTGCTATCACTCCAGCCCTTAGTTTCTGGATTAAGGAGAAATCTCTGTGCCCAAAAGACATGTTTTCTTTTTTTCCTTTTTTTTTTTTTTTTTTTTTGAGGAATGGGGAACACACCCAGTTGTGCTCAGGGCTTATTGCTGTGTGTTTAGGGATCACTCCTGGAAGATTTGGGGGGATCCTACTGGGTCCTGCGGATTGAACCCAGGTTGGCCTCGTGTAGGGCAAGCACCTTAACCCTGTACTCTCTTTCCAGCACCAGAAAGCATGCTTTCTTAAAAATTTAGGGGGCACTGGAGCTATAGTACAGTGAGTAGGGGCCTTGCCTTGCACACAGCTGACCCAGGCTCCTCCCCAGCACTCCATATGGTCCCCCCAAACCCACCAGGTGTGATCCCTGAGTGCAGGACCAGGACTAAGCCCTAAGCACTGTTGGGTGTAGCCCTCCACCCCCCAAAAAAGTAAACAAAAACAACAACCTCAATAACAACTAAAACTTAGGAGAATTTACTTGGAGAGGTTCTCGGGAAGGTCCAGATAGGAAAGCCTGCCACACCCAGCGTGCCCCTCCCTTTTCTGGGACATAAGTGCTCGACCCACATCCTCAGGGGTCCTGAAACCCTGAGGATGGGCATGGACCCATGATCTCAAGCTTACCTCAGGCTACCTGGGCTCAGTCCTGGATGGCTGGTGGGGTGGCCTTGAGAAATGCATTTTATGGTGCTTAGCTCAAGTTCCTTACCTATAATTTGAAGCTGGTGATAGTGTAATTCCACTGTTGCTACAGGCAGCCAGTCAGAGGCCAAATAATGGGTGGAGAAAGAACAAGCATTATTTTTTTTTTCTTTTTTTTTTTTTTCCCTTTGTTTTATTTTATTTTTTTTAAAGTTGTAGATTTACAATTTTTTGTGCTTTGGTTTCAATTATACAATGATCAGATACCCATCCCTCCACCAGTGCCCATTTTCCACCACCATGGATAATATCCCTCCCACCCCCATCCCCCCCATCCGACCCTGCCTCTGTGGCAGGGCATTCCCTTTTTTTCTCTCTCTCCTTTTGGGTGTTGTGGTCTGCAAAAGAGGCATTGAGTGGCAAACATGTTCAGTCCATAGTCTACTTTCGACATGCATCTCCCCTCCTGGGAGGATCCTCCAAACATCCTTTATTTGGTGCTCCCTTCTCTATCTGAACAGCCCTTTCCTCTAGGATACCCGGCTGGCCTCTAAGTTATGGAGTAATCCTCCTGGTGCTGATATCAGCTATTCTTGGGTATTAATCTCATACTTTGTTACTTTATATCCCCCAGATGAATGCAATCTTTCTATGTCTATCCCTCTTTTTCTGACTCATTTCGCTTAGCATGATACTTTCCATATTGTACCACTTGTATGTAAATTTCATGACTTCATCTTTTCTAAGAGCTACATAGTACTCCATTGTGTAGATGTACCAAAGTTTCTTTAACCAGTCATCTGTTCTTGGGCATTCAGGTTTCTTCCAGTTTCTGGCTATTGTAAAGAGTGCTGCAATGAACAAACAAGTGCAGATGTCACTTCGACTACATGCAAGAAAATAGGCTCAGAACTCTCCCTAACAGCATGTACAAAAGTAAGATCAAAATGGATTAAAGACCTCAACATCAGACCAGAAACCATAAGGTACATTGAAGATAAAGTTGGCAAAACCCTCCATGACATTGAAGCTAATGGTATCTTCAAAGATGCCACGCCACTGGCCGAGCAAGTGAAAACAGAGATAGATAAATGGGACTATCTTAAACTAAGAAGCTTCTGCACCTCCAAAGAAACAGTGACCAAAATACAAAGACAGTCTACAGAATGGGAAAGGATATTCACCGAATACACATCTGACAAGGGGTTGATATCCAGGATATACAAAATACTGGTTAAACTCCACAAGAAGAAAACATCCAACCCCATCCAAAAATGGGGCAATGAAATGAACAGAAACTTTCTCAAAGAAGAAATCCGAATGGCAAAAAAGCACATGAGAAAATGCTCTACATCATTAATCATCAGGGAGATGCAGATCAAAACCACAATGAGATACCATCTCACACCTCAGAGACTGGCCCACATTCAAAAGAACAAAAGCAACCGATGCTGGCGTGGATGTGGCGAGAAAGGGACACTCCTTCACTGTTGGTGGGAATGTCCACTGGTTCAGCCCTTCTGGAAAACAGTATGGACGATTCTCAAAAAATTAGAAATTGAGCTCCCATTTGACCCAGCAATACCACTCCTGGGAATATATCCCAGAGAGGCAAAAATGTGTAGAACAAGCATTATTAAGCCTGCAGGTTGAGCTCACATTTTCGGAAAAGCCATCTTGCTTGCTTGCATGCACTTCAGAAACAGATTATATAGGAAAAGAACAGGGAAATGTGTTTTGGGGAATGTTTCAGGCTGGTGGGTATCAGACTGATGGATACGTTCTCTTGCATTTGGTCCCCTAAGGCACTCTGTGATACATTTGTACTTCTTAATCAAAGATTTTAGATGAAGGGTTATCTCCTGGTGATAGGGTCTAGGAGGAAGGAGCAGCTATGACAGTGCCTTTCCTTTTTTTTTTTTTTAATCACTCCTGACAGTGCTCAGGGGACTATAGGGGATGCCAGGGATCAAACCCGCTTTCTTTGCTTGCAAGGCAAGCACTTTATCCACTATACTATACTATTCGGTTCCGACAGTACCCTTCTTAAATGCCCTTCCGAGAAATTTTCTGGCTTTTAATTTTGAATCTGGCTCTTCTTTGGGGGTAGCGGGACAATTTCCATAGTACCTGCTTCATTTTTAAGGATGGGGATGCGATGCTGCTCAGGTCCCATGGTGCTGAGGGTACCCAGACCACCCTGGGGGCGCTGGGGTTTCCCAAGTTGCACCTGAAAGTGATTGGGGGTCTCACAGGCTGCAGCCCAGTGATGCTTGGGGGACCCTGTGATGCCTGAAATCGAATGCACCGTAACCATTGTACTATCTCCCAGTCCCTGGTCCCTTGCCTCTTAAGGTTGTTGTCAGGGTTAGAGATAATGCCTCTCACATCCTTGACACAAAAATGGATGCTTTATAAGTGAGTAAGACATGAGGCCTCCTACCATCAGTCCTTATGGTAGTTGCAGGGGGGCTCCCACAAGGGAGCGAAGGGGCTTGGCAAGAGGAGTCTAGATGCTGTTTTCCCTGTAACTGATGCACAGTCTCTGTTCTCTTTTTGTCTTTTGTCTTCCCGTCCTTGCCCAGTATTGATCCTCCAGAAGGTGGAGAATGGAGACCTGAGCAACAAGATCCTGAAGATCACTGATTTCGGCCTGGCTCGGGAATGGCACCGAACCACCAAGATGAGCGCCGCAGGCACCTACGCGTGGATGGCACCAGAAGTCATCCGTGCGTCCATGTTCTCCAAAGGCAGTGATGTGTGGAGGTAAGGCCCGGGCATTCCCTTGTCTGTGGGCCTCAGGTCTGTTTGGTCGCTTGCATGTCTTAGGGCACGGAGAAATGAGGATATGCAGAATTCCAAGCACCCCGAGTATGTCTCAGTAACTCCTCCAGAGCAGCATATACTAATGCCCACCTTGCCAATGACAGTACTCAGTGTCGTTAGCTACAAAAATCACCCCCAATGCAGTGGCAAGTACCGAGCCGATGCACGACCTTTGGTGTTGATGATTGCTCCCTATGAAAGACCACTGGTATCTAGGGGAAATGTTTGCTACCACCCAGTCCCACCTGTTGTCTGGTGAGGGCAGCAGTCACTCCTGGAGACCTTCCCTGGCAGCATCTCCCCGGCTTCCTCAGCAGCAGTGGCCATTACTACTGACTTTGTCACTACATGCTCCCATGCTGGTTAGTGTTCTTGTTGCAGTATCCTTGTGGGGAGGGGGGGGGGGCGCACAAGGGAATGAGGGCAGGGAGCCAAAAATGACCTTTTCCAGGTCATCTACTTATTTTTATTTTTTAAATTTTTATTAGTGAATAACTGTGAGGTACAGTTACATACTTACAGAATTTCATGCTTGCATTTCAGTCATACAACGATCGAGTACCCATCTCTCCACCAGTGCCCATTTTCCACAACCAATGGCCCCAGCATCCCTTCCACCACCCCCATACCACCCCCTCCAGAGTAGCCTTTATAGAAGTACTTAATATTTTTTTTTATGAAGGCTCTGTCTATTGATAGAGAATTGAGAAAGGATGGGGCCCAAGCAAGGTGAGAGATCAGACTAACAATTCTCCCGAGGCATGGAACTTGTCCTCACTCCTGAGAGGGTAGACCTCAGCCAAGAGACAGCCTCATGATCGTGGAACACTGGGGTCACTCTGGAATACAAGGAGAGGCCCAAGGCTTTCATTGTATTTCGTCCCCAAAGTTGGTGCTTCCCAGGGATATGCTGTAAAGAGAGCTGCTAGTATGTTTTCCCCAGCCCCCTTCTTCCCTTACCCCTGTTGATACTGGTACTGTGATGAGCAGGAGTCCCACACATGCAGAGCTGTGGAGTCTGCAGAGTTTCAGTGGTGGTACTTAGCTGCTTGTGGGAGTATCGGGGAATCACACTTTAGTTGTCGTGCTTGCGGATGTGCTGGCCAGGGCCCCACAGTTCCATTGTGGTGCTCTGCTCATGCTGGTTGCCTTGCTCACCAGGGAGCACATTCCTGGTCATGGTGCTCACCCATCTTTTTTGTTGTGGTGCTCTCCAGGGGTCACACCCTGGAGTCACGGTGCATAATGTCTCACTATTAAAAATTTTTTAATAAAAAAAAATATATTGTCTGTAAAGGTAAAGGTAAAGGCCCTCCCGTTGATCGTCGATTTGCTCGAGCGGGCCCAGTAACGTCTCCATTGGAGACTTTGTTGTTACTGTGTCTGGCATATCGAATACTCTCGGTAGCTTTCTGGGCTCTCCGAGGGGGCGGAGGAATCGAACTCGGGTCGGCCATGTTGGCCGCGTGTAAGGCGAACGCCCTACCCGCTGTGCTATCGCTCCAGCCCATATTGTCTGTAAAAAAAATATATTAAAAAAAATGAAGTGCAGCCACTACAGTGCAGCCAGAAGCACTTAACAGTCTCGGGGATGTCAGACAGCACCGCTGCCGGGTACAAAGGCAGTGATATCCATATGGTGCTCAGTGCAGGTGGTGGCCCCAGAAATCGAACTTGCAGCCTTACACTTGTAGGACAGGTGCCTTACCATGGCGCCATCACCTGGCCCCATCACCTGTGTGGAGTCTAAATGGAGGTGTTATCAAAATACCACTCACCTAACATAAAGGTCATCTTTTTGAACATATGTAAACATATGTCAAGTATTTTTAAAGCAGGCTTATTTGCCTAGTTGTGTATCTTTTCTGAGTATCTGCTCAAATCCTGTGTCAGTTTCAAAATTGGAATTTATGTGGCCAGAGAGATAATACTCATATGGTCCCGTGAGCCACTGCCAGGACTGAGCCCTGAGTTCAGAATTAGGAGTAACCCCTTAGCATCAAGTATGTGTGGACCCAAACTCAAAACTTGAAACATTTAAAAGTTCAAAATTGAGTTATATTCCATTGTATTTACACCAAACATTATTTGTTTATTTTTGCGCCTCATCAGGCAGAGCTCAGGGGTTACTCTGCTGGGTTTGGGGAACCATATGTGGTACTAGGGACTGATCCTGGATCAACTATGTGCAAGTCAAGCATCCTTCCACATAAACTACTGCTCCGGACTCCATATAAAAAATTATATATTATGAATGTAAGTCTGTTATGAGGTATACAATTTGCTAATATTTAATATTTTTCCATTCTGTGGATTTTGTTTTTAGTTGAGTGTGTGTGTGTGTGTGTGTGTGTTGGAGGGCCATACTATGCTGGCCACGTGTGCTAAGCATGTCTGTGTTTGTGTTTATGTCTTGTGTGTGTTTTGCTGGAACTCAAACCCAGGGCTTCACACATGCAGAACATGGGCCCTGCTACTTTTTCCCTCCCACTTTCTTTTCTTTTTCTTTCTTTCTGTCTTTCTTTCTTTCTTTCTCTTCCTTTCTCTTTCTTTCTTTCTTTCTTCCTTTTTTTCTTTCTTTCTTTTCTCTAACTTTATTTTTCTTTCCCAAGATGGTTTTTGCTCTCTGGGTCCCTTGCATTCCCATGTGAATATCAGGATTTTTTAGTCAATGTCTGGAAAATATGCAACTGGGATTTTGATAGGAGTCATGTTAAATATGCAGCTCTCATTAGAAAGTTATTGTCCCTCTTAATATTGTCATCCATTCGTGTGAAATGTCTTTCCAAGTATTTAGGCTTCCTTTAATTGCTTTCAATATGTTCTGCAGTGCCTGTATATTGGATTCTTATCTCAACACACATTAATTGCCAAAGTGAAGTTACTGTGAAAAACAAGAGTCGTCCTTAAAATATCTGACCAGGAATTGTTAGATTGAGCTGTGTACTGATACACCAGTCTCTGGTGGAGCGGCTCTGCCCCAGGAACTCAGGTTTTTTTCAGGATCTTTCAGCACATTGTTCTAGTTCAAGCAGTTACATCTGAGTGATAGAGAATGTTGGCATTGTGTTTTGCAAAAAGAAGGAACTCCTTTTCGCACAGCACAGTGCAGCAAGAAGCAGTGACTTGGAGGCAACTTTGCAGGTGTGAGTGTCACTCTGTGCACAGCAAATGCTGTTCTGGATCATGTGGGCACACCTAGCTCCAGGGCGCAGATGAATGGAGGCTCTCACAGGACCTCCGTGCTCCCGGCTCAGTCTCTGCTTCCTTGCTTCCCTTATGTCTAAAGGCCACACTCAGTGGCATCCCAGAGCTACTAAGGCTACACCCAGCAGTACTTGGAGGGCCATGCTCTGCCCAGGGCTCAACTCAATGCCATGCATACTAAGCATGAACTCCACCATTTGAGTGATCTCCCTGTCCTCCTGCTCCCGCCTGCTGCAAAAATTCTTAACACCAGAAGAAAGAGAGAAATAGACTTGGGGAGGAGACAGTGACCATCCAGTGACCACTCTGAACTTTACCTTTCTCCAGGGGAGACCATGACTCCTCAGCCACTTGATCAGTTGCTGCTTCCTGTATTCCTGCTCATCTCTTCTGCCAGCTTGGCTGTGGAACCTTTAGGTTTTAGTGTCACCCACTCCAAGGATTTCTGCTGCTACCTTAATTTGGATAGAGTTGTTTCTGGGGTGCATACACTTTTTTTGTCGGAAGGGAAAGCCCAGGAATCTGATGAAGAGTCTCGTCATGGGGACAGAACTGTTAGGGAAGGAAGGGCAATACCAGTACCAGGGATTGTTCATCATAGAAGGTGGCAGAACCTGTCAACTTGTACCCAGAGTGTCCTCGAGGACAAACTTTGAGGTCTTGTCCTGAAGCCACAGATCCTGAAAGCAGGCTTGAGATGTTACTGTACTCTCTGGAGGGAGGAGCTTGGAAGCAGATTCCAAGTCAACTGCACTTGGGATGAGGCAGCTTGCAGATGGTCACAGGGTCTGTTGCTACTTTAGTTTGGTGGATGAATGTGGTTTGAAAAGAGTCCACCGTGCTCCCTTCCAGCTTTCTTAGCATCCATGCTACAGCATTTCCTTTGAGAACACTATTATTGAAACCACTAAAGGGGCCTTTGATCCCTCCCTCCTCAAGACGTTCATCTAAGTGGCTGCAGATGATCTTGCTCCTTTCCTGGAGAAAACAAATGTGTCCGTGACGGCATGTCTAATGCAGTTACTGGTACAGATTGTGACAGGCTAGACTGTGTCAAAGACTGCATCTTAAAAAAAAAAAGTTTTACTCAAGCATTGTGAATTACAAAGTTATTTGTAGTTGGATTTTGACATACAATGTGCCATCACCGCCCCACCACCAGTGTCAGCTTCCTTCCACCAGTGTTCCCGAGTGCACTCTCCTCCCACCCCTACTTCCCAGCCCCAGCCTGCCCTCTTGACAGGCACCTTTTGGTTATTAAAGTTCGGGTCTCATGATTTCAGTGTTGTTGCCTGTGGTTTGGAAATCTAGCTGTACCATTTCTTAACACCACCCATGTCCCTGAATCCCCTTGACCCCTGCCCTCGTTGCGTCTCTTCTCTAATCACCTATCTTCCTCACAAGATTCCCCCACAGAGGTCCTGTGATTTCCATTTACAGATGAGGTAACCGAGACATAGAGGACTTAAATCATAGCCGGCTCAGGTGGTAGTGGTAAATCTGGGATTAGAACTTGTTATGTGTCTCCTTGGCCAGAAATCATTGATGTCAGCTCCAGAATCTGGGCTGATCTGGTTACCGAGAGCAGGAGCCCATTCAAGGAAGACCGTCTGGGTCACATCTCAGAGAGGACTTGGGCATGTCAGAACTGACAGTTGGACCCAGCACTGCCGCAGAACTAGCCACTCCGATGCTTATCCTTACTGTGTACTGCGAAGCAGCCCTCCCCACTC